CTAATTGATAATTATAATGAAATTTGTACTAATAAAGCCACGCCAAGACAAGCCACACACGGTACATGCACATGCACATGCCAAACGAAATAAATGAATGAAATGAAAAATCGAAGCGTTTGGCTTTTCGATTGAATCGTTGCAAATACATACGAAATCTACTTAATGTTATGAGCAGATAAAAATCGACCAAATGCTAATTGGAAAAGATTTTTTTTATCTTTCTGTCTTCTTTTCTTGCTCTCTGTCATTCGTTCGATTGTTTATTTATTTGCTTGTTGTTTATTGGACGCTTCTTCATCAACGATATGAAAATCAAACTCAGCAGCGACATTCAAATGAATGGATTTTCATTGTTTATTAATCGATCGTATGTTGCATTTACGACACATACGCCAGTTCGTAATTCGAGGATCATTTTTTTCCATAAAAGAACCACTTCTTCAATGCGACTCTCGCAATTGCGATCACAATTGCTCGAGTACATGTTTATATTTTTTTTTTCGCGTCGTGTATGCAAAATCAGCAATTCCATATGCGATATGCATAAATCTGTAGCGGATATTGTTGGTGTTTTTTTATCGTTATTTTTAGCGGCGAAGCGAGAAAAAATATTTCATTCAATGGACACATCTTTCAAGGTTAACGTAAACGGAAATAGAGATTTGAGTTATACGCTCAACTAGATCATTCCACAATGAATACATTTACAAATCTCTAAATGCATGCATCGTTACAAAGCTATGGTGCTCTTTTCAATCGGTTTTCCACCTTTCTGTCTCTCTCTGTCTGCCTGTATGTCTCTTTTTCCATCTTTTTTCCATCTTTTTTCACATTAACGAAATCCGGTCAGATTAAAGTATAAAAGAATAATCAAATTCAATGGAAAGATTTCGCTTTCAATCAAAACACACTAAATTAACGCAAACAAATGCCATAAAAACTATTTTGTAATAACATTATTTACGCATCGTATTCTATTCAGAAGTGATATCGCCATAAAAAAAACAGTTGAATAATGGAAATTGAACGGACACACACACACCAAATGGTCAGAAGCAGTGAGTGCTTTAAAAATTAAAAGGTCCATTAATTGTGTATTTGTTTTCGTTAATTAGATGCGTTCATGTGAGAATTCCATTCGAATAGGGTGTTCTTCGAATGGCAAATAGAATATGAACATACGTCATTTCTGGTCAATATGGAAAGAAAAAGAAGGGAAAAAAGAAATGGATGGTGGCGAATGTCATCCGAGTAAAAAAAAGAGCAGTGTCGTTGTGTTTACAGACAACAATGACACATATGAATGGGCAAGCGGAATAATGAAACGTAATTCTGTTTTCAAATGAAGTGCCTCTGAGAAAATTTTTCAGTAAAAAAGCCCCACAAAAATATTGTCTGATAAAAATTTGTATGAAAATCTTATTCAGACAATATTTTTGTGGGGCTTTTTTACTGAAAATTTTTCTCAGAGGCACTTCATTTAAAAACAGAATTACGTTTCATTATTCCGCTTGCCCATTCATATAAATATCGGTATCGACCAAGTATTTACATAGTTCAATACTACTTTCTTTCCTTCTTCTTCTTTTCTCTCTCTCTCTCTTTCGTCTGTTTTTGTGTCTTTGCTGAAAATATCCGAATGTAGAAAATGGTTTTTGAAATGGCGTGCAACAACATTTAACAAAATGTTATTGATAACAACAATACGACAAACATCGACAAATTACTCGATAAACATTAAAAATTCATATGTGTCGAAGCGAAATGAATATGGAATATTGTGGTTGTTCGCTTGCAGCACAGGCCATTGAATCGACAAAACTTACAATTTCATCGTCTCCCCCGTAAATATGCGATTGAGCATATATGTGTGTGTGTGTGTTTGTGAGAACGAGCGCGCGATGCGCGAATTATGATTTATTCAGCTGTACTTGCATCGTATTGTGTTTTGCTTTCGAGTACGATGAGTGACACATAAAAGTATCAAAGTTTTTGGCGGTTTTCATTTGCGTTGTCTATTCCCTTTTTTCGATTGAACATTAATGAATGTGCCAAATTTATCAGCACTTTGCGGAACATCAAAACTTAAGTCGGAAGTGTGAAGCATATGAGCAGAGAGTCGCTGCCAGAGACAGGGAGCGACAATGAAAGAGAGAGAATGTGAATCAAAACCGAAGCACTTATGTATGTAGAAAAACATGAGCAAATATAGGTGGCAAAAGGTAGAGTGTGATCAGCGCAATATGTGGAATGTATTGAATGTGTAAAGTCGGGCACGTGTTCACATGCGCAATTTTTTTTTATTCATTTCTGCTTCTCTATTTCGTTTTCGATGTGTTTCAAGAACTATTCTAATGCGAAATGCTAAAGCGCCAATCGATCATAAATGTGTATGCCCGTTCATTATGTTATGCTACTCCAATCGGGGTATGTGTGTATTTTGTCTGTTTCTGTTTGTTTGGTTGCCGCTTTTTTTTGTTTCATTTCCAACTGGCATGGATATGTACGTGCTTTTTGAACGAAACGAAATGGAAATTTTGATTGATAGTGCGCGAGGTGTGTGCGTGAATGAGAGCTAATCAAACTCGTTATTCTGCATTTACATTTCGCAACTTCACTGCTGGCGGATCAATCGCTGGCGTTTCATTGTTGTCAAAATCGACACACAAGCTAAATTGCATATTTTATATTAAATTCTATTCACGAATTCATTTTCAATGAACACACTTCATCGGCAGAGCGGTGGCAGCAACAACGGCGGCGCACACCGCTTTGGCAGCAAACAAATGAACGGGGGTGCAAGAACAAGCTATGGCGCGCACAATTCAATTGAACAATTTGTAAGCAATTCAAATCACATACACACATCGCCAATATTCAAATTGTGACAATTATCATATAGCAGGAGCTTAATTGCCCGCATTTTGTTTTGAAATGGAAACGTTTCAACAATTCTATTTTCTTCCGAATTGTTTGACGATGACGACGACGATGACGATGACGACGACGACGACGTGCCTTGCACATATTTTTCGAAAAGCTCGTCATATTTAAATACTTCCCTGAATTCAAATGCTCTTCTCGACGAACACACAAGAGAACAATCAAAAAAAGCATAAATCCGCCAATCACACGACAAACAACAACAACAAGAGGGAAAAAAACAAATTCGTATTTTCGAATCGAATGGGTCCAAGTGACACACTTTAAAATGAGCCGTGGTTGCAGCCACTCGCACACATACACACACACACACACACACACACATCAAACTTGATCAATTTGCGTGAAATTCTTCCTAATGGCCATACAAACAAGTGATCGTTCTTCGCTTCTTTTTTTTGTTTATAAACACATCATTTTCATTGGATCGGAAGACAACGGAAAAGATTGTTTATTTAAACGCGTTAGCATTTTCTAAGCGTTGTTTACACATTCTTTTCCTTTGTTTTCGTTGTTCGTTTCTCTCGTTTCGTCTCTTTTTCCTTCGCTTCGCTTCGTTTCGTTTCGTTCATTCGTTCTTCTTTCGTTCAAGTCGCATCTATCGCGTGTATTCGCTCAGCATGCACGCTTTCCTCTCTCTCACTCTCTCTCTCTCTCTCTGTGTGTGTGTCTCGTTGCCCGCGTTCACGTTTTGCATTTCGAAAAATTTCCATTCGCCACTTTTAAACATCGTCGAAACACACCAGATCTCCCATCAAAGTGTTTGTTTTTGATATTTTGATTTCAGTGTTTGTGCGCTATCGTTTTTGCCGCTTGAATGTTGTTTTCTTTTTCCTACATTTCCTTTCTATTTTACACTTTCGTTCACATTTTCATGTGTGAACGCATGCAATTTATTGGATTTTTATTTCAAAATAATTTTGGATTAAGTGACCAATGACTCGGTTCGGTCTGATTCGATCCGGTCGATGTGTGAGTCACATGTTCATCATGCGTTTATCATTCGATAGCCTTCTAAAGCGTGTCTCGATCGGTAATTTTTCACAAGGCAAGAGTAAGAGAGTGTTTTCGCGCATACTGATCGAATGATTGAAAGATCATACCGTGGTGGAGCATGCGCGCACGCCTACCACAAAATTCACTGGAATTCATCTGTGTGCTACATATGTCGAATACGGTTCAATAATAATTAGCATTGTAAATTGCTCTCTCACACAACTCACACACACACACTTTTTTCTGTTTCTTCTGTATTTCGACCAGTATTTTCCGTCCACTTTGCAAATGTGCATGAGCATAAATTAAATTAAATGGTTTTCAAGGAGAAATTACAAAAAGTTCATTGCGATTTTCAAGTGACGACAGTGTTGCTTTATCAATTGCAGCTGAAACGAAGCAAACAAATCTAAAAAAAAATTAATCTGAATGCGAACAGAAGAATGAGCGAGCGAGCGAGTGAGTGAGGGAGAGAGAAAAATGAAGACGAGAGCCAACCGAAATGAAAGAAGCACACACAAAAAAGCAACGAAGACGACGACGACGACGACGACGACGACGACGACGATGAAGAAGAAGAAGAAAAAAACCTTAGCGGAAAATCTATACTGTGTTATATAATTATTACCATCACCATTTCATTTGCTCAATGCTGTGTGTTTAGCTTTGTATTGCGCAATTTAATGAAAAGCCGTGCCATACACGCCGCGCATTTCATTCATGTGAGAATTGGAGAAAAAAGTACAACAAATTATTGGATACGTAATCTATATGTGCCAGTACGTCCGTTTTTGCAAACGACATGCACTTTTGCATGATTGCTGTCATTTGTGATCGCCATTCATAAAGTTTCGTGGTCTCTCTATGCTATTTATGTCGGTGTGCGTGTGTGTATGCGTGTGGAAACAATCAATTTGTATTCCTATCTCTTGTGTGTGTGTGTGTGTGTGTGTGGTTTTTTTCAATCTATTTCTAGCTACCTCGTTATTGCAATTCAATTTGGTTCTAATTTCTAATGTTCACCCATTTTCTGTCTTCTCCATCCCAAACAAACACAGATTCAGTACAAGTTAATTGATTTAACCGATTGTGGATTAAATGATGCATCGGCAACCGCACTTTTTGATATCATCGAGTATTATGAGGCGGCCAACGAGATCGATATATCAGAGAATCGCAATATCACTAATAGAGGCTGGCAAGCATGCATCAATATGGTGAAACGTAGTCATGCATTACAAATATTAGTGACCCGAGGCACACCATTATCGGAATCAAATGCGATTAGTTTGGGCAAATCGATGCTTAGCTCATCATTAAATACACTGAAATTGGAACACTGCGGCCTGTCCGGCCGACCAATGGCATCGCTGTGTAAGATTCCACTTCAATCGTTATCCGCAACTGTTGTGCATATTCATCGCACAATTTCTTTATTGCCCCATTAATCTTGTCTGTGTTTTTTCCCCTTCTTTCTTTTGTTTATGTTTATAATGCAGGTACCTACTTACGGAAAAATACTGTGCTGAAGGAGCTTTGGCTGGCGCACAATGATTTGACCGCTGACGATGCATACAACATTGGAAACGTGTTGAAATCTAACTTTTATCTACAATTCCTCGATCTAAGCAATAACAATATTCAGGTAAAATGATCGCCGCTCGAATCAAGTTGAACTTGTTTTGAACAATGATCGAACCCATTTGATTTAAGTGAAGCATCAATTCTGACATGCATTAATCTAAGCCATTTTAATTTTTTGAAAATGCAGGATCCTGGTGTACTTCATATAGCCGACGCATTAATCGAGCAAGCAAACTATTTCAAGGTATTGCATGGTGGATCGAGTTCAACCGCGTCACAACCATTATCATCGAAGCACACGCTGACGCGTGGCGATAAAAACGAATCGAAATATGAGTGCTTGGCGCGGCTGATAAACGCAGCAAAACCGAATGCAGATGGAACTCCAAAGCCGGATGCACCCAACAATTTTATTGCATTGGTTACCGCCGAAAAATCTACGGCTGCAGCAAATACAACCGGCGATGACCGAAACCAAAAAGAAGCCGATGAAAAGACAGAAGCACAAGGAGTTACCAAACCGGCAAAAAGTGATAATAACAACACAACCGTTAAGGCGGCAAGTGATTCGACAGCAGCAACACCATCACCAGCACCAGCTCAAGCAGCTGAAGCGGGCAACCAAAGTGTGTGCGAACTAAAGATTGTCGAACAAATTGAACAAAATTCTAAAGAAAGCAAAAGTGATAATGATGATGATTCATCGCTGGCAACGTCCAATAGCACCACCAGTTTCGATTTATCAGAGAAAAATAGTGTCGATGCGAATGTAAAACACAAGGTAGAAGATAATAATAATGGCGGGGCTGCCGATGTTAAGCACACCGAAAAGGGAACTGTGCTATCGAATAGTGAACAAAGTACCGAAATTGTTTCCCAACAACAACAGCAACAGCAAACCACACAGCCACCAAAAGAGGATCTCACTGAAACATCGGATGACGCTCAACCAGATGCAATGCTACTGGCCACATCGAATGATTGTCATTTGGATATCAATGAAAATAAATCCGATATGAAACTTAACTATGCGGAAGTGGTGAAAGTGGAGAATGCGCTTGAATCAACGCTGTGCGAGAATAAAAATTTCAATGTCGCCGCTGCCGAAGAGAATAGCGATCATGTCGATAATAAAAAATTTGATAGTACAAGGAATGTGTCAAGTGATCTCGATGATAAAGTACAAAGCACAGATGCCAGCGCAACCAGAGAAAATACAACTCCCGTCAATGTGGCACCGTCGAAGCGTAAGGTTGGCTGCTCATCGCCGAAACCAATTCAAACTACCAATTTAAATCGGCACGACGATCCTGACGAAGAAATGTCACCGGTGTGCAAAGTGCGGCTGCCATTGAACAGTCCACGTCTCACCAAATCTAAGGATATCATGAGCGAATTGCCGCTGACACCAGACAGTTCCCATTCATTAGATAGTAGTTGTGAATATTCGACATACAATACATCAATAGTTCCTGAAAGATCGTTCAGTTCGGAGAGTCTGAACAGTGAAACCTCCATCGAATCAAACGATTCCAAATCATCGATCAAACTGGCCGAAGTTAAATTCTCCAAAAACGGTACGCTCGAGCGGCAAAGTAATACAACCGTAACGTTTGTGCCATCGATTACCACGCCAAACGGCCTTCAAGTGCTTATGCTTTGGAATAATCACATTACTAGGGATTCGGCTCAATCGATATCCAAACTGTTGGCCGCAACCACCACATTGGAAATTCTGAATGTCGGCAAAAATGTATTAAGCAATGACTTTGTCGCAAATATCAAAGCTAGTCTCAAGGCAAACACCAGTCTGACGAGTCTCGGCTTGCAAAGTGTTCATCTATCGAATGACGGTGTTAAAACGTTATCGGAAATTTTGGATTTTGGCGGTAACGTGACGCTGCAGCGCGTCGATTTACGTGATAACAATTTACAAGTGAGCGGTTTAACGTCATTGAACGAAGTTCTCAAATCGAATAAATCAATCACTCGAATTGATTTGGATGATGTGCCACGCAGAGCATACGTAAGTTTTTCACTTTCACCACATTTAACATAGCACTTGAACTAATCGTGTACGTTTTCTATGTCAATATTTTGCAGGAACACAGTTCAGACTCGAGCATCGATTACAATCGTGTGGTCAATAATATTCGGTCGTTGTGTGCTCGCAATGAGAATCCACCGGATCCGGAACCGGTTCGTACGTCGGTGAAGCGTGTGCGTGCTAGTTTCTTAAACTCTCGCAAAATCTCGTTGACGTGCCAAAGCATACGGAACAGTGCTCCACACGATTCTCCACAAGCCAAAGCCGATCGTCACTTATTAGATCCAACACGTAAATCTGGTCGTTTAAGATCGCCTTCACCTAGTCCAATTCCATCTCCCGTTTCATCGCCAATACCAAGCCCGTCACGAAGCAGCCGCTTTCAAGTGTCTCGTGTTGTTGAAAGTAATGTTTCATCTCCGATAACACCTCCATCGTCAAATAGTTGTTCCCCAACAAGTACCTCTTCTTCGTCTCGGTTTCGTGTTACTGTTGTTGAACCACCAAAAGTTATGTCCGCTCCCGTAACCATAATTAACAGCACGAACAAAGAGTGTGATAAATCTGTACAGAAAAAAGAAGTCGAATCGGTAACGGCGTCGCCAACGACGACGATGAAAGTGGTGGCGGCAGTACCGCCACTTCCTCTACCGAATGTGTTACAGCGTACGCAGTCGGCACCATCGACAACGATGTCCGCGCAAGCGAAAGAAGAACCACCCACCTCAGCGATTGAAACCAGCAGTACGAAAGATTCAAAAGTGTTTACGGTTAGCAAACCCACCGATCATCAGCAACAGCACATTGCTACAACACTGACCGTAATCGACAATCCGGGTAACAGTTTCGACAGTCCCGATTTGGAAGTGAAAAGCTACATGGACGACAGTTGTTCGTCGTTCAGCAGTCTCGATTCAATTGATCGTGGGCAAGATTTCAACACATCATTCAGCTCAATGGAAAGCTACGACATGCTACGGGAGAACAAATTCGCAACTGATAATCTTGGGAAAAATGTGTACAAACCAAAACAGAATGTGGTCACCAAAAATCTATCGAATTCATCCATTGAGACGGAAAATGAAACGGTTGAGCTGAACAAAGCCGATAATAATCCGTCTAGCTTAGAAGCAAGTACATGTTCAAATGATTCGATCTATGGATCTCAAGAGTTTCCCGTGCTGAAAATCTCATCGAACGAAGGTACGTTGACAAACAGCCCGGTTAGCCCGTGCAGTGGTGATATTGCAGCCAATGAAAAGGATAGCTTGTCACCAAAACCAGACGATAAACAGCAACGCGTTCGAAAAACATCGTGGATATCACGCGGCGATGCGGTTCCAGCTACTTTAGATAAGTTACTTAGTATTTTCCATCATCCGAGCAATTTGTTTTTCACGCGATCCAGCAATGGTGATGTGCCGAAGCAGCAACAGACTCAAGGCCAAGATTGTAATAAGCCACCGTCACGCAAAGAAAGTCCGTCGGGGCTGTTTGCGTGGTCGAAGAAAGAGAACGTTTTCGATGAAGTTGGTGATAGCAAACCGAGCAGCGGTAGCGGTGGCGGCTTTGGTATTGGTACTGGTAATGATGTTGTAGCACAGCAAAAGACCGCCAAATCGCCATTGCAATCGAATATGTCGCCGGAAAATACGATAACCGCTGATTCAGTTGGCATTGAGGCGATACCCATTCAGCTGAAACAGGATGTCAAGGAGAATGTCTCGCCCGAGCACACCGTCACCGCTGACAGTATGGCAAATTTGCAATTGAAATCGATTGCCACGCAAACGGCCAGCACGGACGTGGGCCCAAAGGCTGAGAAAATTCCAATGGACATGGAACAACAGCAGCAGGTGTTGAAAAATGAAAAAGTCCATTTCGAAGTGGGTGGCGATGACGATGAAGACGAATACGACGAGACCAACAAAATTGAATATGCCGGTGTTCAAGTGAACACCTCCGAAGGATCACATCAGCATCATCACCATCAATCGAATGCAACGATCGCAGCAAATCACATGGGCAAAGCATTCGGTCTTGGTCAAATCACACGCGATTCGCTGAGTATTTTGAAGGGAAGCTCCAACAATTCACAGGACTCAATGCGATCGCTCGAATCATTGTCGGAAATTGTTTTTGAAGAGAAATAATCAATTCAATATCCACAACAGCAACAACAAAATACCTACACACAGAGACGAACCCACAACAAATAATCAAAACCAATGATCAACCAAAAGCGGCAAAAAAACAAAATCACCACCGCAACAACAACAAATGCAGAATGCAACGAAAGGTTTTCCATCATTTGAACCAATTGATTATGGCAATGAGATGTTATCATTAAGCTAATCGATTCATTTGAATTCTAAGTTCATTTGCTGCTGCTGCTCATGACATAAGAAAAAAAACAATGAAAGAAAAAAACCACAAAATACGATTTAAAAAAAAAAAACAAACAAACAAAATCAATTATACGATATGTTGACATTCCTGCCAGTTCACCAAATGTCAGCGACCATATTACGCCGAATTGTGTTCAGTGGTGCATACATTTGAATGAAACAGAAAGGGGAAAACGGTTCTCACATTCTTTCTCTCACTGACTTGAGGTGTTAAGCAAAACAATAACAAAGAAAAAATCAACGTGAGATCGCCGATGACCAATTTTTTAGATAGGATTTTCTTAATTTTGATATTGTAAGTAGAGCGCGAATAGCTATGCTAGGAACTGAACACAGAAAGAAAATAAATCAACAATTTTGTTCAAACAGATCGGCCGATTTGAAATTAAAAAAAAAAATGAAAATAAAATGAAATTTGACTGGAAATGTCACAAATGTAAAAAAGAAAGACAGAACAAAAGAATTAAACGGAAATGATATGAGTAAATGATTTGAAAAGAAAAAAACACACAAAAAAATAACGAAAGAATAAAATACAAACACGAACAAACTAAAGAAACATTCACACATGCATTAGGGCTCGTTCGGCTTGATTTAAAGAGACAGACAAACAAAGCAAAAACATTTGAAATGAAATGATTGTGTATATTATTGAAAACTTGTATGCCTGTGATAGGTTCATACTTTTGACAATTTTGTGATATAAAATGGGAGACAGAGAGAGAGAGAGAGAGAGTGAGAGAGAGAGAGAGAGAGAAAATGAAGCAAATTGCAAAGGGACATGGGATTTTTTTTTATTTGGAAAAATTTGTAATTGTGAACAGTGTAAAATTTATGTATAATTGTAACTCACACACCAAGTGAGAGAGAGAGAGAGAGATGGAAGAGTTTTTTGTTCGAGGGCAAATGAAGATGCCAATTGAAAAAAAATGAAGCTAAACCGTTGTTCTTTTTCTCTCTTTCTCAAGAAAATGAATGGAACATGGAACAAGAAAATCCAAACTGAAATATTGTGCTAATAAGTAAGCCTTAGTATGCTAAGGGACAAAGTGAATTAAAATGAAGAAGAAAAAAAATGAGAAAAACCACAAACAATTGCTGTTTTAGTCAATAAGAGACATTCAAGAAAATTGAAAACACAATACACACATGGCTTAAGAATTAACAAGAGCAACACACACACACACACACACCTAGATTTATCAATACATTCACGCTATGACTATTTCTCGATCCAATTTCATTATGATGCTGTGCTTAATTAATTATTATGAATATCCCAGACATATTTTTGTACATAAAACTATACGTAGAAGTTGTTTAGCCAGTCAGCACCTAGATGATTTAAAAAAATTCAGACCACATGCAAAGTACATACCAAAATTGTTGTTTCCGGATGAAAGATAAATTGAGGATAAAAAAAAATAAACAAGAGAAAAAGTTATTTACATATTATAACCATTTTGTGAGCAACTTTACAAAGAGATAAACTGTTTTTTTCTGTTCTTCTGGGGGGAGCTTGATTGTGCGAATATGGCCAAAAAAAATTTGATTGGGACATACAAAGAGAGAAGCGTATTAGAAAAAAGAACACACACAAACCAACAGTAACAACAAAAACAAACCAATTAAATGATAAGGATTAACGAAAGAATTGTGAAATCATTATCAATAAATCAAAATGAGGTTGTAATTTTTCTTGTGTAATTTTTGTTTACGCTCAACGTTCAGCGGCTCGTTGACAACAACAACTACTATTACTACATTTTTCTATTCTCGTTTCTTTCTTGATTTTTACTCTCTTTTTTTTCGTCGATGAAACACAACAACAACAAAATTGAAGAAGAAAAACAAACACATAACCTAGTTATGTAAATTGCAAGTCGTCGCATGAAAAATCATTTTGTATTTCAAATATGTAAACATGCAAATGATTAGAATGAAACAAACAAATTTACTATTTTTATTCTACACTAAGGTGTAATTTGATTGTAAACCACAATGAATGTGGACAAAAACTAAATTGAAACAGAAATATCAACACACACACACACACATTTAACATTATTCATACCAATTCTTCACGAATTCAAAAGAAAAATGGAATAGTTTTCGATCATTTAGATTTGAAATGAACAAAAAAAAAACGATGATGAAAATAAAATAAAAAAAAGAACATTTTTTGTATCGAAAACTCTTATTTCGATTGTGATAATTTTTTTTTTTTTTGAACTGTACATACGTTTTACATGGATCATCCAAATACCGTGGGCAATTTTGTTCTTAAAATGGCCAAAAACCAAAACAAGAGAGCAACACGGATTATTGAACGCATTCGGAACTGAAATTGCGTGATAAAAGATTTTTTTTTGCAAACGGTGAAAAATGCGAGTTGAAAATGTTCTGTCTCATGGTCGAAACACATAAACGGACGATTAGAGAGTCGTTTTTAGGGTAGAATGAAGCAATCTTGCTTCTTGAAACAAATCGGTTTGAACATAAATCGGGTATTGCACACAAAAGGGGCGAATTTTTCTTTTTGTATGGATTGATATTGAGTTTACTTAAATCATTTATGAAAATAAAAGACTTATTTATCTTCGGCATGTGTATCGATCGATATTTTTGTTGTTGCTTAGATTTCGGCTAAATCAAACAAATTGAGTTCGTTTTTTTCTATTTGTATGACTTAAAATGAGTTTTTTTCTCATTATCTTGTATTGTGTACACGTAAAGAAAAAGAAAAGCCAATTTTTATACAAACAGATCATATAGAGGAAAAATCAGGAATTTTTGTTTTTCTAAATATTTGCTATGAAAATGTCGAAAACGTTCAGATTAAGATGAAACGAGTGAAAAAATGGCGAAATAGAGTGTATGTAATAGTTAATATTGAGCGACATTTGCTTGGCCACTCTCAAATTCAGTGTTGTTCTTTTTGTTTTCAATCATTTTTGTTTTAGTTTTATCATAAGTGCTATTTACCGGTAGAACCCATACCAAATTGTATTGAGATGAAATTGTATTGATGCGTCGCCTTATTTTTGTAAAGAACTTGCCGGAATCAAAATTTTCCGGTGTTTTCAGCGATTGCTGAAAAAAAAAACAATGCGTAAAATTGATGGAATTTGGTGTGTATTTTTTTTTACTTTACCCGAGTCGTTTGTTCATATTTGAAAATTTCAACAGGCAATCAATTGTTTAAAAGTTACCTCTACGACACCGATTTTATGGTTTTATAGAAGAAGAAAGGTTCAAAAATCGGCCGGACTTTTGTCCGAATCAATCGGATTGAATAATTATTGTGCTCCCATTCCACATGTCACCACTGAAAAGATAAACAATTAACACCAACTGATGAAAAATTGAAATTTTCCCATTTAGAAATTAAAAAAAAAAAATAAAGAAATGAAAAAAAGAACAATCTAATTTTCGTATGATTCTCGTTTGAAAACATTCTCGTTATTCATGTGAAGAAATTGTCCATTTGATAAGTTAAACACACAAGATTTATGTAAATTAAAACAAAAACACACACAAACTAAAATAATAAGTGAATCACAAAGGTTCATTGTGTTCCTTGAACGTATATAAATAAATTAATAAATTTATGGTAACAGTTGTAAAAAAAGCCGTGAAAAAAAAAACAATTTGCAAGTGTTTGTTGAATCGTTAAGTTGTGTGGTATGGTACAAATTACTTAATTTCGAATTTTATCGTTCTCTTTTTTCTGTTTTTTACAGGAAAATTCTTAAGGCCAAGATACCATTAAAATCTCATCTAAACAATTCAGACATAATATATTTTGCTTTTTTTTGTTCGTTCGAAAATTGAATTATTAAGGATTTGTCGACCGTCTCCGAAGCAACGTTAGGGTCCACATCAGTTTGCATACAATTTCATTGCATTACATAAATAAATTACAATGTTTTCTATTTTTTTTCCTTTGTTTCTCAATGTGATTGAGAACTACACACAAACACAAACACAAACATACAAACAACACTTTCGATGACGGATTGATGAGCAGGAAGCTAAATGTAGTTATATTGAAGAAAAACAAAACACTAGAAAAAAAGTGTGTAGACATTTTTCTGTGCTTCTCTGAGAATTACCGATGGGTGCACGTTTTTTCTCACAGAAATTTGCAAAATCAATCTACCGTGTAGTTCCATTTAAATTGGATTGAAAGAAAAAAACAACAACATAAAACATAAAAAATTCGATTGTAATTGTAGTTGTACAAAGATAATAATGATAAATTGGATTGCACCTGTAATTTGTAAGTTTCTCCACCCCCCCCCCCCCAAAAAAAAACAAACAAACAAAAATTAAAATTAAAAAAAGAGAATTTTATGGAATACACTTTAAATTTAGAATGAAAAAAAAAATATTCACAAATAATAACATCAACGTCAAGTCAATGAATTTTAAGGTTTTATTTTGTCTAATTTTAACATGCGTTTTCTTCTTATTTTTTTTTTCTTGTGTTAATTATTGTATTTCTTCTCTTTTTTTTGGTTTCATAAGGATTTTAAATCACATTGTATGTAATTATTATCGATAGGAAAAATATTAAATAAAAAGAAAAAACAACAGAAAATTGAATTAAAAATAGAGCATTGTGTTTTGCATATTCGACGTTCATATTTGTTTCCTATTTTTCAGCATAAATATTCAAGGCAAGTATTTGATCAATTAGCGAAGCGTTGAAGCATCGGAAACATTGAAATATTTTCCAAAGCATTGCCCAATAACAGCAGCACCACACACAGTCTCTATTCGCATTTGACACAGGGCGATTACGTCATAGTAGAGGCGCGTGTAAACAAACATAATCAAATGATCGAAAAACTTTCCAGTATTTTTGTTTTTGTTTTTTTTCTTTCTGTTTCTCTAGTTGCTCATGCGTTTTGTTATCAAAAACGTGAGTGTGAATGTGAATCACAATCAGCAAAGAGGAAGCAACCGAAAGAAATGCGAGACAATTTGGAAAGAAGAGATAGAAGAATCATGTATAGACAGACACACATGCGCCAAAAAAAACAGGAGAATTTTTAAAATTTAATTTTCGTTTTATGTTCTATTTCTTTCATTGTGAAACCGGTGAAAGACCTCAGAATGTGCGTGTGCTAAAAATTAGCACGAATAGCTCATTAGGGCGCTACGTACAATAATCCAGAGACCAGATATACATATATGCCATTTGCCGCTGGCAATTCGGATGAATGTGCGTATATTGATTGTTGCCTTGTCCCAATGCAATCTAATAAAATTACCGCTTTATGACTACGCTAATAAATTGAAACAGCGCACACACTTTATGACTATTTAAGTTAAGAGCGTGTGAATACTGTACAACAATATGCCGCGCTGCTAATGCCCCATCGCTAAAACGTCGTGTTGTGGCTTGAATTAAAGGAAATTGTGCCAAATCGTTTTGCGTACTGTGCCACTCAACTTTTGTCTTATTTTCGGGAATCCACGAATCAATTGAGCGCCACATAGTGAGGGAGCGCGCGCGCTCCACACAACTATCCTCAATCAATTATGCAATAAAAAAAAGCAAATGCGCAATTTTCTTGTTCTTTTTGCCATGGAGTAGTCGTACAACACAATTGGCAGTGATGGGAGCAACACACGGCTCGACAGTATCGGAAGAGAGAGAGAGAGAGAGAGAGAGAGAGAGAGAGAGAAAGAAATAATAGCAACAAAAAACACAACCAGGCAAATCCATGCGATGACACCACACACCAAATGCTCAACTACTTGTATTGAATTGGCTAGTGTGTACGAAAATCAACCGACCGACTGTGTACCGGAATCAAATGTCAACACACACAATATTTAAGTAGTGCGTTCAATAGTCATAAATCAACGAGCCACAACCATATGTTTTTGTTGCTGTGTTTTTTCTGCTCTTCTAGCTGCCTTATTTCGTGGTCAATCAAAAAAGAACTGTGTGTGTTGTTTTTTTCTTGCTTCTCTTCTTCTATAAACGTAACCGTTCCGTTCAATGCAAATGAACCAAAATTCAAAATCTTACACGCGTACTAATACTAGCTCAATGTTGTTTTGTTGTTTTTTTTTTTTTGTCATCGTCTAAATCGGTGTAAGTTTGGCACGAGTTGCGTGTGTATTGTCAAATCTTTGGGTCATACGGCATTCGCTCTCTCGTTGCGTCCGCTCTCTCTATCGCACATATGATTTCATATTCTCCTCGATCGCATTGGTGTTGGTGAGCACGGCTCTCAATTCTCTCTCGTTGCTCTCTCCATTTTTTTCCACCGAGAGAGCGGAAAAAAGAGCGGCGGAGAGACACCAATACACTCACACGTTTGACTCTCTTTGCGCTCTCTCTCTCTCGGTCTCTTGTTTGCTGTTCTATCGTGTGCACTGCATGTGCGTAACGTTGAACGAAACTAATATTACTTGAAGTATCGCCAATCATTTACTTACACTCAACAATCAGTCGCATGCAAAACGTTTCACATAGCAGTGACTAATTCGATCGATCTGTTTCAATGGTTAGAACAACACGTGCGACTAAAGAATAAAAATCAGTTTATGGTTTTTACGTAAATGAGTAGCAGAATTACTGGTGGTTGACAGTGTTTTAGCATTTGGATTTGGCTGTTGCTAGCAATCAGCGAAAAAGTGAGTGAGCAAAAAATTTGTGTGGTAGCTTTTTGACAAAACAAACCTTGGTCTATTTTTGGATTTTGCTGAAAGAAAAAAAGTCCTTTTTTATGGTTTCGCACCAATGTGTGAGATATTGTCCGATAATAATGAATTCGTACGAACGTTTTTAAATGAATTTTCATTACGAAAATCGAAGAGAAGTGAAGAAAATCGTATGAGCGCTAGTGAAATTGTGTCATTCTGTCGTAGTTTTGCCTGTCAATTTGAGTGAAAAAGACGCTGATGTGTGTAAAGTGATAGAGATTTAGACGCCATGCCATCAGCATTCGGTCAAAGTACAAACCTGAAATATTTTCATTGATAAAATCATCATACATTCACACGCACCCCCATTTATGATTCATTCGCTTCATCCACGGAAATGCAATGGAAAATCGATTTCTCGTGGCCACGGATATGAATCACGGTGATTTACGCTACTGTTTGTTTGTTTTTTTTCGGAATTGTTATCGCAAAACCATCGTGTGATTGGATGATATTCAGAACAGCAGTGATGTCACGAGATGTGTGACATGTTGCTTTTAGACAACAACAACAACAACACGAAAATGATTCATTTGATACGGTGCTCAACGCAAACCGAAATTGATTTCATGAACATGCAAAGCGATGCCAATCGACGCTAATGCAACAGTTAAACATCCTGGTTAGCACATTTGAATCGCCGCTCTCAACGAAACAACAACACATAGACACACACACACACGAAACACGAAAAGAAAAACGAAATTCAAACTGACAAGAGAAAACACACCGATGAGATCGACTATACATGCACATGACACAGCATCGCACCACCACACGCTCAACACCACACGAGAACGAGGCAATTGAAACGGCACGACCGAGCACGTGCGCTCGATATTAACAAGTGCATGATGCTATGATGACGATGATTGTGTTGCAAGGCTGTGTGCGACTGAGTGACTGAATAAGTACGTGCATCGATGCGCTTGAATCTGTGTGTGCGAAGGCTATCGGCATGCGAAAATATTTCGCATTCACATAAAATTCAGCGTTTTATGTTTGTCATTTGGAATTTCATCATTTTTCGATAGGATGACATGAAAAATGCATGTTCGATTGATTGTGTCCGAAAATAGCCCGAAAAATGTAACAGCGCGACGACGGCGGCGAAATCAAATGGAACTGGTACATTCTTCGCTTTGTGTAAACGATGTCGACGGTGGTGATTTGAGACTGTGTTCGATTTTTGGCGCTCAACACAACGCACGAAGCACACTCTGCTATCATTCCCGATTGAATTGTTGTCTCGTTAAGACGTTCTTTTCAATATCATTTCGTATCTGTGATTTCGTCTCAATTTTTTTTTACCGTCCGATTGAAAATTTGGTGCTTTGCAAAGAGATTTACGTCTACATAAAAATTCGTTTTTCATTTTTCGGGAGTCCATTATAAAGTTTTCGTCTTTTTTGTCATCTTTTGAGCGATATTTGATTTGCTAGAGCATTTTCGGGATTTTTTTCTGTCTGTTAAAAACGAAAAAAAAAAACAAAATGTCGCTGTACAAAAGATTGCATACACCAAATTCACCGTTGTTACCGTTATCACCGATGCCGATGGCGTCGCCAAGCATGTTCTTGTCACCGTACACCACATCGATTCGCAGCCGGCGTTCGTTTACACCAAGCCATTTGAATATGCTACCGCCACCCAGTGTTTCACCGATTCAGGCCACGATTTTATCGGCAAAAAACAAACAACGTAAGCCAGCCATGCAAACCACACCCGACCAGATGTTGGAATGCAGTTTAGTAATGTCGTCCGTGAAAAAATCCATGAAAAAAGTTCGATCAACAGCCAGGTTAATATCATTTTCATTGTCATTTTTCTCTTCATAACAATTCATTGCGCATAAATTCAGTGCTAAACAAATCGAATCAATTCATTCGCCATTTTCACCTGAAAAAAATCATTTCTCCATTTGCCAACAGAATCACTCGGAAAATTGAAGCGCGAAATAACCGTTTGGTGGTGCCGTTGACGCCGATTCGTCGTTCATTATTCCGTGAGGTGAGCCCGTCGCCGCACATCGAAATCGAAACACCAAAAGCATCGCATAACGGTTCACACATATTCACGCCGAATTGGCTTACGCCAAAGGCATTCGGAACGCCAGCAGGACAAGTCGTATCGCCACAGCTCATGCACAACGACTTCACACCGTCGACCTTGCTCGAGGAAACATTCACCGTTATGAGCATTCTCAAGGAAATCAACATGGAGAAATACGCAACGTTGTTTGCCCGAGAAGAGGTCGATTTGTTGGTATTCCTAATGCTGACGCGCAATGATATGATCGAGCTGGGCATCGATGAAGCCGACCACATCATTCTATTGAATGCCATTCGCTGTTATACCGAATTCTTTGGCAATCCAGAGAAAATGTTCATCTAATTTGATTATTTTTGCACATTTTTGTCATTATTTCATGCATTTTTATCGTCATTGTTATATTTCAACCAGGCCTAGAGCCTTGAATCGCTAGACGATTGTTGGATTTTGTGATTTTTTATTGTTTGAAAGAAAAGAAGACTGCAAATTGACTTACTACCTAATATTTTATCCGAATGAATGCATGACGCTTAGAAGCGAGAAAATCTGCGATTTTATTTTTTTTAAAGAAAGACAAGCAAATAAACTATAAACAAAAATACTATAATATAAAATAAAACAAAAATAAAACAACCAATTAAAATTGAATAAACCTATAAAAACTATTTACAAATCAAATTGGCGAGTGTTTCTTCTTTTATTTTTCAAATAAAATCCTTGAGAAACCGATTCAAAGGTAAAATTCCAGCCTGAAGTTAATGCATTTTCTTGAAATCTTTCACAGACTTGCCTCACTTGCAGTGGAAAATAATCAAAATGGCAGCTCACTGTGACTTTATTGCAGGTGTATTTGCTGGTAAGTTAGCAAATGCCAGTGGCATTATGCCACTGTTTTGCCACGGTCTTTTCAGAAATGTCATCATTTTCAATGGGATCTGTTGTGTTTCTCCCAAACAGGTGCATGCAATATGTTCATCTCTCATCCGCTGGATACGGTGAAGACGAACATGCAGTCAGGGAACATGGGATTCTTCAAAGCGACCAAATCACTGTTCAAAACCGAAGGAGTAAGTCAATCAGCGAATTACAATGATTCAATTACATGGTGAATTGACTGAATATTCTTTTGACATTTCACAGGCAAAATCCTACTATCGTGGCCTTTTATTTCCATTGTGTTCGACGGGTTTTTTGAATTCTATTGTCTTTGGCGTGTACGGTAACTCATTCAGAATATTTCAAACCATGTAAGTGTCTGTTTGATGTCAAACCCAAGAAAATGTCAACAATTCTCACCGCCAAAATAATTTTGCAGGACGCCGAGTGCCGAATTAAAACAAAAGTATTGGTTTGAACATGTATTCTTGGCTGGATGTACGGCCGGAGTAATTAAATCAGTGTTTGCATGCCCAATCGAACTGTCAAAAGTTCGATTGCAGGTTAAAGTAAGTAAGTCATTCATCAAGCATGCAATCAACGCCTCTTTGAAGAGTTTCTCATTTGCTCGTATTGAATTTACATTTGAACAGATAATGAAACGGGACCGTTGATGGTATTTCGACTGATTCAACGAACCGAAGGATTTCAAGGCATTTTTCGTGGCATGGAAGCAATGCTGTGGCGGTATGTTTGAGCAAATCACAAATCATTTTGTGACAAGGCAACTTACATAACATATTTCTTTTTGGTCCACAGAGATGCAATTCCATACGGAATCTTCATGTTTGTATACGAGTACATGATCGAGAAAATGCGATCGCCGTCAATTCAACGGCCATACCATTACAAAGAGCAATCGGTGGAACCATTGCGAACAGCGGTGGCTGGTGCAATGGCCGGTATGATATCATGGCTACCCAGTATCCCGTTTGACGTGATCAAAACCAGAATGATGACAGCCACCGATCCAAATCAATACAGAAATGTATGGCATTGCTTCCGAGAAATAACCAAAGTAAGCGGACAAACAAAAACTGGAAATCAACCCATTTATTATTGGCAAATTCTCATTTTCATTTGCCATTATAACGACGAATAGTCATTAATTGAAGAAAATTTCTGTCATTTCTTTGCAGGAGAATGGATACAGGTATCTATTCCGTGGTGGTACAGTGTTGGTGTTACGTTCGGCTCCAGTCAGTGCAGTATCATTCATTGCATACGAGAAAATGTTACGCCATTGCCAAAGTCATCACCAATTCTCATGATAGATCATCATTCATCGCAGCCAAATTCTATACCAATCAAATCAGATAGTATTTTGAAAGAGAAAAACAGACAGAAATGTTTTAAGTAGGCAGCAAATGCAACAAATTTGTACAAAGTACCAATTAATTTATTATATTCTAATTTTATTTAATTTGTTCTTATTTGCGAACAAACTGACCACACTTGTAATTTATTTATTGAGCCATGTCCGCTTTTGTTGATTGTGTTTTCTGTGAAATAAGTAGAGAATGACAGACCATTTAATTTTACCCGAATGTTTAAAAAAACGAGAAAGAGAAAAAGAAACAACACATTTCCTAGAGATATTTAGAGATATTGTAAACGTATCGCGCACATTTAGACTTTATTTATTGGGAATTTTCAAAAATGTTAGCATCAATTGTGATTTGTGAAATAAATGAAATTGTACAACAACAGTAGAGAGAGAAAAAATGGATTAATAATGATTTTTTCTCCGTTGGTTTAATTCATTGTGCGAGTTTTATTCATTTTCAATGCCTTACACACAAGAAATGATTGTTGATGCTTGAGATATGAATAACAGAGCTATTTAATATTTGTCATATTGGATCGCCCGTCACCTCAGATGCATAAGTAAAATAACCGAGAAGAGAGTTGAGCATTAGCTAAAATTTGCAAATTTTAAATAAAAGAATGAGCTTAAAAATTAAAAGGCGAGAAAGAGAGAGAGTGGCAGTCCTCCCGAATCGGCGCTAATCGACTTCAAGTTTTCGGAAACTGCCTTGCAATCCATAGAGACTCTTGTCATTTTCACTCGACGCACAGTGCAATTGCTTGAGTGCGCTGATCGCACCTTCACGGGCTTTCAACGAATACATCTCCAAATGAACACGCATCTTATCGTTGGCGAGTAGAACCGGCTGCTTGGCCGCCATTTCGGCCTTCCACGATTCTTTTGACAAAACCATATTGGAAACAATGAATAAATGCTGGGGTCTGGGAATAATTTTGACATCAAAGAAATTACTAACCAATCATTTCAGCCATTGGAATCGTTCCGCCAAATTCGGATGGCAAAATCGAACGATCAATCACTTTGACGGCATCGAGTGATGTGAAGAACTTGATACGACTGCGAAGCTTTTCAGTTACCAATCCAAGTGCAAAGTCAGCGGCAAATTTAATCGATGCATGCATTTTAAATGCAACTATTTCCTTGTGTCGCATTGGCAACGTATTCTATTTACAAAAAGGCGAAAGAAAGAATTAGAAAAATTCAAACAAAAAATCAAAAAAAATTCTAAATATCTTGTTTACAAATCTCAACACACGCACACAACAACAACACGTGCATAGACAAATCGCTTGGAAAAGTGATTGCGTGTCACATGCTGCGTGTTGCGCACGTTGAGTATACACTTTGATGTATAACTTCCATGAGCTGCGATGTCCGAGTGGTTAAGGAGATGGACTTGAAATCCATTGGGCTCTGCCCGCACAGGTTCAAATCCTGTTCGCAGCGAACATCTTTTTTTTTATTACTTTCACCGTAGAAATGTGTCTTTGCTGTGTGTGGCCCACATTTTTATAGAAATTTTCTATTTAATTTATTTTTTTCATAGAAATATTTAATTTTCTGTTCTATTTGACGTCATTCGATTGAAAACTTTTGATCACAGCATGTGTTTTGAATTGGAAAGTATTTGAGAGTGAGGAAAAATGCGAATGAAGAAACGAAAAATGCGTTGAAAGAATTTTTCATCAATATTTTTTTGTATCCATACCAAAGGTTTCAAGCAAATGAACATCGACAGACAGAAAACGATCATGTCGCTGTCGTATGTGTGTTTGACAACGAGCAATCGGTTCCAGTGGTACAGCGTGCTGACTATAGCTACGGAGAATGTGTCGCGTTAAACTAGGTTTGCTAACATGAGCTGCGATGTCCGAGTGGTTAAGGAGATGGACTCGAAATCCATTGGGCTCTGCCCGCACAGGTTCAAATCCTGTTCGCAGCGGAAATCTTTTTTTTTCTTTTTGTCTTTGCTTTGGAAATGGTTTTATGAGTTCTTTGCTCTTTTTGAACTATGATTTTGATAATAAAATTTGGACGAAAAAAATAATTCCTTTCGAAATAAATGAATTCTCCACACGCGTTTCTGTGACGCTACGTCTGGAGAGATAGACATATTGAAAAACGTACGAAAGACACATGTAATTGAATTTAAGCGGAAAAATAGGGCGTTATATATAAATATCATTTGTCAAATCGATTTTTCTTCGTTTTTTTCTCTTTCTCAAGTCATAATCTTGTTAAAGAATTGGAATTTACCTCAGCATTTTTAACAATTCGAACAGCCTCTTTTGGAGTGAACAGAGTCATGTAGGGCAAATTAACGCCAGTACAGTCGACAATGTGTACGTAGCCACGTATTTGATTCTCTTCGTCTTCCATCAATGTTTCGTAGACCATACCGTGCACTTTCAGCATATCCGTGTTGGCATATTTATATGGATCGAACACGCCTGCAAATTGTTTATCATTTCAGAATTGTTTCATCACAGAAAATAGTTTTGTTTGCTTTGTTTTTCAAACAAAATCTCACCCGGTCTTATTATGATAACTCTTCTGCCAAACTGATCACGTTGTGGCACCGCAAAAATATACCTATTTCAATAACAAATAAATTGCATTCATTGGAGATTCATTCAAATTAAACACAATTTTGTTGCTCATTATTTTCCCTGAGATAAACTCTTTTAAAAATAGATAAAAAAAAACTCTTGAAATCGGTGGATGTGTGATGAAATGTGCTTGGCGTGCGTCGACACTCGCACTGCATAGAGGCGTTGAACGTGAACGCTTGTATGTGCTGCGATGGCCGAGCGGTTAAGGCGATGGACTAGAAATCCATTGGGATTCTTCCCGCACAGGTTCAAATCCTGTTCGCAGCGAATATTTTTTTCTCGATTCGCTTTTGAAATGCGAATCATTGGGTTTGCGATTTTTTCCCCATTCAATTATTATTCATATTATTAATTATTCAAAAAATTAAAAGAAAAATCAAACATTTTTATATTACGCTTAGGTCGTTGTTTTGAATTGTTATTCTGTGGAAATATCTGGAGCACCAAACTTTGTACATTTCATTCAGCATCCAAATGTAAACAAAACAAATGTAGAACACCAGTTTCGTCTGTATTCGTTCGATATGAAGTACACTTTTATGAGAAGATTTTTTTTTGTCTCAATGATTGTTTGCCTGTTTTGTTTACTTATGCAGTCGAGGTTTGTTGACGCATCATTTCGTGATTCGATTTTAAACTCGATATAATAACGTTCATTTTTTTTATAAATTCGGAATGATGCAAAACAATGATAAAACCAGTTTTAGACAAAATATTTGTTTTTTTTTAAACTTTTATAAACGTTCGATATGTTTATTTTACGATTTGTTTTGCATCCACATATTTTTTTCATTGCAAGTTTTAGGCTATTTTTGACTAATATATTTGGCCATTTTGTGTAATTGAATGGAAATAAATCGAATGTATATATTTTTAATTACCCCGTGTCCAGTAGAGTCTTCATCGCTGGCAAATTCATATCCAAATTGGAAAAAAAGTCGTATGACTGGCGGAGTAACAAGTATCGTTCAATTCCCTCCTGCGTAATGGGCACACTGAACTTTTTTGCTCGCAAAAATCGCAACAAAAAACTTGAATCTTTCAATACGGAAAATGGAAAAAAGAATAATTCATTCCTTTCGGTTGCAAGAACGTTGTTTTTCTTCCTGATTCATTTATTCAGCAAACAAAAACATTGAATTTATTGCTTACCCATACGTGCGGAGGCGATTCTTGGATTGGATTCGATCCAGTCGCGAAGTGCCTTCAATGCAAAATCTCTGGTGGCACATGTTTCTCTCAGCTCCATTTCGGCCAACGTTTTCAGTTCCTTACTCAAACTAAATTCATAATCATCAGCAAATGTGGTAGCCTTCTTCATTTTGAACTCGATTCACTAGTGACTTCTGTGGCTTGGAGTAGTTTTTTTTTAATTCTTCGTCAAATGCCAATTTTATTTGCAATTGAAATATGTTGGCTACAAAACCTGTTGCTTTCTATATGCTCTCTGAGGGAAAAACATACAAATAAAAGACACTGTGTAAATAGTTGGATGTTGAACAAGAACCTAAATATGTTTCTGGTTTTGAGTTGCGCAATTTGGTAAACCGATCCATCGCGCCATAATTGTAAATACAAAGTTACAAAAAGTCGAAATGAAAACCGTTTTTTTTTCTTCTCTGGCGCACTCGTTGCAATCACAAACTCAAGCACAGTCGCACGCTTCAAGAATTAATTCATACACAATACAACTGAGTAATTGCAAACTTAAATCGTGGTTAGATTGAATGAACATCTGACTATATGATTGTTTTGCACAATTTCTGCAACCATTTAACGCAGCAGCAGCAGCAGCCACATCAATATGTAACAACTTAATGTGCTATATGATCCAGAAGTGTATCTACCACAAATGCACGTGTTTTAATCGCGTTTTAATCTTACGCGATGAGAATGTGGACCGTATGCGTTTTCACACCGTGTACGATTATGCACGCGCTGCTTCCAGTGCCGAATGCGGTTTGAATCAAATCTCAACACAACCGGAGCTCATATATGGACAACTTCTCGTTCATTTACTTTCGCTCCACACACACTCGCTTCTAATGTTACTTCATTGGATTTTAATAGCTTCATCACCGAACTTTGACAGTTTGATGTTTTTTTTTCTCGATCGCTGAAATCCTACATTTCGTTCACATCAATGAAACGATCGCGTCTGATGAGATAATCACACTTATTAAAATGGCTATTGAGAAGGAGAGAGAATCGACAGATTTTCCGTAAAAACACATCGCGCAATAAAATGGTTGCCGTTGTTAGTAAACTTTGAAGGGAGGAAGCGAGGAACAAACACAAAACTCCTGTTTGATTTATCGTCAAAAGTGCGCGACACCAACAAATATGTAAATAACCTTCAATTTACTCATTCGTATTTAACAGCCACTTCGAGTGTTTATTATTTACGATGACATGATTGCAAACGGGGGAAAAATCCCATACCAATTATATTTCATTATCTGAATAGAGAAGAAGAATTCATTATCGGATTCTATTTTAGCGATTCTACGTTTGAAATTTGTCGCGGTTTCAATTTAAAAAAGGCGATGATAATAATGGTAGTTAACATTTTGTTCGAACTTTGCTATTGTTATCTTCTTCGAATTCAGCTTGTGGTTCTGCCCAATATGGAAAGTCCTCTTGCGATTCTTGTTTTCACTGTTGTTTTGTCCAAATTTAAAACATATTTTGCCAAAAAATAATTTCCTTATTTCTAATCTTCACTTTCAATCGACGACCATTCTTGCTTTCAAAACTACGAGAAAAAAAAAACAAATAAAGAACAATTGAGACAATACAAATGGGCAGTAGACACACTTATCAAACTCGCAACTCAAACCAGCTCTATCAGGTGAGCTATAGAATCAATGCTGGTAAATTCCTCATCGCTTAACTCATTTCTGTTGAGTTTAACATGCTATCAATTGAGTTGTGAAACCAACTATCTATCTTTGTTTTTTTGTCCAAATCAAAGAATTCATTTTATCAATATGATCCATAACATAAACAAGGTCGAAAGCAACGAAAAAAAAACACTGAACTCAACTATTCAAAATAATTTCAAAATCCCGGGAAAAAAAACTCATCAAGTATTTATAAAAAAAATGGAAGAAAAAATGCGTTTTTTCAAAGAGTGATCTAGACTTTTGTTCCGAAATTGTATATAGGATATTGCACGTATTAACAAATAATAAATGAGAAATGAAATGATTTGACAGTCCGAACTAAGTCGATCAATTTGCTGTGGCTAGCGAAAATTGGCTAAATTTATAGTTATTTAATTAATATAAACTTAATTTATTAATTATATTAATTAGAAGTGACAATCTTCAGACCTCGTTTTAACCCGAAGGGCTTGCGACGAACAAATATATATGAAATATCTTTAAATATATTCAAATATGCCAAATATTTCAAATATTGAAGCATTATTTGTTTACAAAATGCATCTTGATATTTCGTATGATTGACATATTTGGCTATATTTCAAATATTTCATATATTAGAAAATTGAGAGAAATATTTCATATAGATATAGTCAAAATAATATCGGGTAATACCAAAAAACGTCAAAATGTGGCTTAAATATGCCTTAAATAAATCAAATATTCCAAATATTTGAAATATGACGGAATATGACTGAAATATAGAAATATATGAAAATATTGCCGTATTTCAGGCGGTGCAAGCCCTTCGTTTTAACCAAATGCAAATGTTGTGTGTGTATATTTACTAAGGCGATCAAACACCATAGACGAAAAAAAAAAAGCTGCACAGCGACTAACTAATTGACGACAACGAGTGAGAACTATTCGAACCTTGTAATTAAAAGAAAATGCAGACAAACATTTGAGATTCGGAACCTAGGCGGAAAACACATTCAACTATTCACAATATTCACACATATTCAAATTCACATCAAATTCAGAATATTCACAAAATATTCACAACTTTTTGAAGGAGTATGTTCTCCCTAGATCGGAACTAAGTCGATCAATTTTTTGTGGCCTGCGAAAATTGGCTAAAACTACAGTTATTAAATTATATGTTATTAATAACAATCTTCGGGCCTTGTTTTGATCGAACGATCGAGATGAAGAAAAAATGTACAAACAGTGATCTCACTTCAAATAAGTCCAATTGATCTAACGGTCTGCTGTCGACTGAATAACACGCCCAAGATGAATTCAATCGAAAACCGTTTGCCATTCGAAGCAAATCTCTCGTACCGCTCTTTCAGCACGGACACTGGAACTAAAAACATTTGAAATGGATTTTGGTCATATGAAGCGCTCTACAAGGTAAACTATCGACTGAAAATGAAATTGAAATGGTATCGGGGCAAATTGGAATGAAATCGATCGAAACGAATGTTGTTAGCCAACATTTTCGATGCATTGTTATGTAAAGACATTTGACCGCGCGCGCACTGCACACCGTCTAACCACTCGACGACATCGAGTGAGAACTAATAGAAGCTTGTAATTAAAAGAAAATGCAGAAAAACATTTGAGAGTCCGAACTAAGTCGATCGATTTGCTGTGGCTTGCGAAAATTGGCTAAAATTAAAGTTATTAAATTGTTACCAGATCTCATCTCAGGTTGCAATCAACGGCAACGACACCGTGTAAGAATGACAAAAATTACATTTTATGCAATGTGTGTGCATTAGACTCTTTTCCCTTCTTCACAAAATGTGCACACAAAATCAGGTGGAAATCATGTCATTTGTGAATTGGTAAAATGTATGAAAATCGTATGCGGTCGAATGGAGAGGGAAAAAAGTAAGCGACGGTGAAATTTGGAATCAATTTCAGAAGTCGGAATCAAGCACATCGATTGTGTCGGTAACCTTTGGAATGGCAAGCGTAAGTGGACGCTTTTAGTGTTACAAAAAATGTCAAAGCCCCATAAAAACAACACCGAAATTAGTGCGCACCAATTAATGCGTGCTAAAAAAGATTCGTCTAATATCAAATCGGACGATCAATTCCAAATTTAGAAAGAAAGAAAAAATAACATAACAAATCATACCGTCAATCCGCGCATTGTGCAAGAATATAACTCACTGAAAATATTCATTGGTGAAGAGAATGAGAGAAAAAAAGACTGGACAAACAATATAAAGATCAGTGTGTATGTGTGTCATATTTTTGCCCGATAATATTATTTAATCGTTTTTTTGTCTTTTTCATCGCTAAGAGTATCTTATTTTTCGTCATACGGAGAGCAACGGTTCGACTATGCGACCATTTGGCATATATTCCGCATCCATCGCAGCACATACATACACACACTATAGTTTACTATGTCATAATCACATAAATCAATGCAATCATTGGTAGGCGACGCAAACACTGCGCTAATCACACGACTTTCTGCATGCGCCAGCCACAGCACACCGAAATACAAGAAACAAAGGAATAGAAAATATTTTATTATGTCAACGACGATTAATACCATTTTTTCTCGGCAATTTCAACATTCCACACTATTGGAAATTTAAAGTCATCACAGCGATCGAAGTGAATTTGCATTCATTCAATTTCGAGAATTTAGATTCATGAAAGTAAGAAGAGTAAACCAGGAGAAATTTTCCCTTTGGAATTTTGTTCAATTTTTGTTTTTCAGGTCTATCACATGCAAATAAATTATCGCACAGCATCGCTAATGGAATGGAATATGAATTCACTACCCGTGCTTGTCGTGGTTCGTTTAGTTTCTTTTCGTTGTTTTTGTTGTTATTTCTCTTTCGTTTAGGTATCATTATGTGGGTCGTCTGCTTTGTCAGCGATTCATTTTACACATGCAACCGTTGTACGCATTGATTATTTTATGGTTTTCATATTTCACGATTAGAGACCTTCAGTCGAGCAATGTTCCTTATTTGTATATAGGCCTTTTTTTCAAACACCTAATGAATTCATCTGAATCATGACCGCTTCATTTGAAGCACAACACATCTACTCCAAATATAGAGTTGAAGTGGAAATTATCATGGTCTGGTTGTTTTGTCTCTCTTGAGATCGGAACGATGCATAGACAACGTGAGCAGATATTTGAGTTGAATAATACCGCAAAAGACACTCTCTTGAATAGTTTGTGATTTCAACATAAAAATATTTTTCGTATATCTCATTTGAAAATTATGTAGAACTGCAACATTACTACTAGTATTATACATATCACAAAATGCAGATCATTCTTAGACTCAGTCATTATTTCGATAATTTGAAATGGAAAATTTTAATTTATCAGCATAATTAGTCTTCTCGAATCTACATTCAAATGATGAAGAACTTTTGCTTGCTACTCGACCAGTTTTTGCTACTTACTAGGAAAAATCTGAAAATTGAAAAAGATGTCTCATGCTGTCCAAAAAATCTTGTGAAGCCATTTTTGGGTAGGACTATGATTAAGCATTTATGGTTTACTTCCTAAACCAGGTCAATTTTATATGAGCTGGAAAACGAAACGAACCAAAAATATTCGGAAGAGATAAAAAAAAAACGATCAACAATTTTGATTCAATAAATTGCGTCACAAAGTCTTCCGTAATAATTCATATGGTTCATGATATATATATATATATATATATATATTCATGATACTCAAAATTATAATGAAGTGTTGATGTTTTGAATTTCTATCGACGCCGTGTTGTTTTTAATTTTGACCCCACACTAATCTATGACTCAAATCGCTTCATCAAAATCAATGAACATTTAATAAATTGGGTGATTTTTGCAAGTTTCACAAAGCTTAACGACGGCAAGAAACAGGTTTGAAGTTTGCGAAAAAGAAAATTGGCAAAAAAATGCTTTTTTCAGCGACTCCTATCGGCCAATCTTCAATCGAAGATGGAAACTGTCAATAAATTGCGTTGAAAAAATGTTTAAAATTACAAACTCACCGTTTATTCATGAATCATCAAATCGAATTTATTTATAAGAAGATCACCAAATCGAAAGAGATCTTCCTTTTTTTCATATACAAAAAATCCATCGAAAAAAATGCAAAGCATGTTGTCTTTGTACCGTATCGATTAGTTTATTATTTTTATCACATATAAATGTAAATGTTAAACTCATCTAATCGCATCTTCACTTTATTTTTGTTATCTTTTGTAACATAAGTGGTTGTTTGCTAGTAATTTTTATTTCTCTTGCATATTTGTACAACATTTTCACTAGACATTGTTTATTTCTGCATTGTATGTATTGACTGCGCTTTTATTTGCTTTCGTTCTGGGGCGTTGAATTTGTTTTTCTTTTTCTTCTATCTAAAAGTAACTGATGAAATTTGATATTATCATAAGCACGTGTCAAAAATGATTGGCCTGTTCATATCATAATATGGAACAAAATTATTTACATAGATTGGAAAGACCGAATTTAAATAGACCTTAAACTGTATGTAATTGAATACGCTTGTTAATGTGTGTGTGTTCTGCTACGAAAACAAATAACTTTGCATTAAATTTTGAACAGTGGTTTTTTTTTGGATAGAGTTAACATTGTGATGGCCAAGACAAAGATGTGATTGGAGCACAGAAGGGGCAGAAAAGTTAGATGAAGGAGATGACTAAAGTTACCTTAACCATTGTTTTTTGTGTGTCAATATGAAAATGCTTAACGGTGACGAAGACATGTCTTCAATATTCTTTCTTATTATCAGTTTTTTTTTTGTTCTGGTTATTGAGTGAAAGATGCAGCTGGATTTTTTTTTTAAAAAAAAATTTCTCGTCTCTTTACGATTTTTGCACTAAAAATAAAATATACATTCGTCATAGGGTTACGTTTTATGTATTTCTTTATGTTCATAATTACATTGTGTGTGTGTTTTGTATTTGTTTACTTAACTTTTGTTGTTGATTTTTTTTTGTTTATTCAGTTATATTGTATATAACCGTATTTTCTGGCTTTTTTTTATCTTTGTCATTTTTTATCGATTGTTTGTTTATTTCAATTTCCGTTTCTTTTATGTCTCTCTGACTTTGTGAAAAATGAGAAATGAATGAGGAGAGGAAAATATTATGATCATATCTCATTTGATATACTAGTATGCTTTTTTTTAATCAACTTGAAAATCTTATGCAAGAATATCCAATCAACAATGGTCTCAAATTAACACACAAGACACTTAAAATAAGCGCTGATTTCTTTTTTCCTTGAATCTATCCACTTTAAACTAGTTTTTGTTGCTTACTTAATGAACCTAAGATGTATGAAAGTGTGTGTGTGTGTTTTTTCTTCTTCTCTATCGCGAACTTATCAAATAATTTACATGTTACTTCTTCACAAACATTGGTTCACTACAACAAATTCATAATTCTTCGATGATCCAACCATTACTATTACTCCACATCCATATTCAATTGGATTTGTCGAACGTTGATTTAACATTTTGTTTGCAACATAAATTTGTGTCACTATTTTAAGAATTCTCTTCATTTTGCTCGTATAAATTGCATCCGGTGAATGCATGATTTTTAATTGTACGGAATCTTGTAAATATTCAATTTGTTATTTTTTTTTGCTGGTTGTGCAAATGGTATCGTTGCATTGACGTTCCACAAACGGCTCTAGCCGTTATTTTGTTTGTTACAGTTTTTATCATCAATTGAATTCATGTATTCCAACTGGGCTATTTTGCAGCGCACGATTTCTCGATCAACGATTCACAGCATGATGTTTAACGATTGAACGCTTTTCGGGTTCGTTTTTGATGAATAAAACGCTTCTAAATGTTCTCTGGTTGCTACAAATTCCGCTGGTTTTAGCTGTGGATGTTTATCGAAGTCTAAATAACCACCGAATTCTGTGACGTTATCTTCTTTGTGTCGTTTTGCTGATCGATGCGTCGCAGGTGCTGCAGTTTCTTCCATTCGCCGGTGTTGTAGTCCAGCTTAATTAACGATTCGACAAGCATTGGAACAATTGTTCCATCTTCTTGTTTGACACGTTCCTGCAAAGTGAAGAAAAAAAAAATGTTCTTTTTTCATATATTTCCGCGAACTTTTAATATGAAACTTAAAAGATCTGTCTTTTTCGAGCCTAGTCTTGTTTTTTTACAGTTTAAAACAAACCATTTGGGCTACCACTTACCTCTGTTTCACCTAATTTGATAACGATATAATTTTCAGGGCTTGGCATTGGATTTTCACGACAACCGCCCATAAAACCGAGAATCAGCGCCTTATCTCGACGAGTGACTCGGTTTGCCTGACTGAAGATCTCATTTAATTTGGCCACATGCTCATTCTATTCGAGGAGAACAACAGGAATTTTTTTGAATCCAAACCAATTACACGGAAATATTGCATAACATATTTTGATTTGTAAATTTTTTTTACCGATAACGTTAACCCTTTTCTCTGTTGTGGCTGTGCTTGAGACTGTTGCACAGTAACTTGTTGCATTTGAACTGGTTGACTTTGTTGATTTTGTTGCTGTTGAATCTGTACGATCTGTGGATTTTGTTGAATGGTTTGCACAAGCTGAGGCTGTTGACCCGGTCTACGGAAGTTGCAGATGCAATGTGATATTAGACAATTTTCATTATCGATCAATAATTTTAAAAGAAATCTCACCTCTGAATAAGCGTTAATCCTTGTGGTAACAGTACAGATTGATTTTGACCAGGGTTGGTGAGCACAAGTCGTGTCTGTGGCTGTTGTTGGTTCTGAGGTTGCTGTGAATTCGTAATGATTTGTGTGTATGATGTTGGTACAAGGGCGGGTATTTGTTGCTGTGGCTGCTGTGTGCCAGTGATTTGGATTTGTTGGAATTGCGGCTGTTGATTGGTCGTCGATGTTTTGATAATATTTGTGCCGGGGCTTTGGGTCAGCACAATATTGTTCGTATTGCCGGTGAGATTTTGTAAACCCGATACACTGCTAATGGGTACTTGCTGCAAAATGGTATTGCCATCGGCGCCAACCGATCGCAAAATGATGGTCTTTTGCTGCGATGTATTTGCATTTGCCAGAATAATGGTTTTGCCTTTGACATTCGGCGATTGCACAACGACCGGTGAATATTTCGGTTGCTGCTGTTGCGTCGTCTGAAACGTTTGTCCAAGTGGCTTGGCATCGGTTTGATTTGTTGTAATGTACGATATAGTCGATGGTGCGCTGCTGGTATTTGTTTGTATTGTCGACTGTCGATTCGCCACACTCTGTTGTATGTTCAAAAATGTTGGCTGTTGCGTTGGAATCAATGGTGGTATATTTTGAATGGTTGGCCGATTCGATGGCACCACCTGAATGGTGGGCGCCGTTTTGATTTGCACAATTTTCGTCGCTCCGATTTGCTGGGGGACCTGCAACGATTCGGACTGCTGATGTTGTTGCTGCTGTTGTGGATTTGATAAAGCTGCTAACGAAGGCATATTCGTCGGTGAGGAAATGGTGACCAGAGCGGGTGGTGTCGTTTTTGTTGATTGGATTGGTGTATATTTCTACAGGAAAGAGATAAATGAAAAACGAAACATGAAACACATGAAAATGCCATTTTCCGCATTAATTGCCGCAAAACAGGTGGGCTATCTTACCTGAGCTTGTGCTTGTGTTGTGGCTGGTTTGATTGTTGTCGATGATATCAATCGTGGACCATCCGATTTTATTGTATTCACGGAGGAAGCATTCGATACGGTTACCAACAGTGGTGTCGACGAAGCGCCAATTGATGACGATACAACATTACCGTCATTTTTAATTGAAAACACTAGATGATTATTATTCGATGTCACTGTATTCTGTTGACTATTACTAACAGCTTGCGCTTGGCTTTGTATAATGGTTGATGTGGAACTGGCAACAGGTACTGCAATGGAATCAATTGAAATATTTAAAAAAGGAATGCTTGAGCATGAGCGATTGGAAAGTCCCCGAAATGCGAACCCTGCTTACCTGTTTCTGTTTTGACAAAATCGTTTGTTGTGTTCGGGGGAATTTCTTTGACAATTGTTGGTGCTGGAGTGGCCGGTTGCGTGTATACCGATGTTGCAGTCAAGCCAACGGCATAGTCAGGCGTTGTGGTGACGGGTGTTTCCGGTTCTGATTTCACTGGCGGACTAGATTGAGCTTCAAGTGCTCGTTTCTGTTGTTCTTCCAGTTCTTGTTGTCGTTTACGTTTCTTGGCCGCTGCATAGCCCAACGGTTGTTCGGTGATATCCAAAATTTTGATGCCACCATCTTTTCGGCCGGCCTGCTGACGCGGCATATTCGGTCGGCTGCTTGGTCCCTGCGTTGATGTCGGCGATCGAAAGCCGCTGGTGGGAATTCGAGGTGTTGGAATGCCTCGCAACGGTGTTGTGTCAGTCATTTTACGAGGCATACCACGCGTTCGTAGCGGTATAATTGGTGCCGATGATTTTTTGAGACTAGACTGTGCATCGGAAGACTTTTGCAATAGTTCGGCTCGTAAGGCAGCACTTTTTGGCTTTCGTTTCAATGTGAAATGCTTTGTCACTGGTGGTTGTTGGCCGACCTGCGAATTCGAGAGAAAAAAACAATGACAAACGAAAACACATCATTACACAATGCACAATGCACAATTGATCAAACAGGCCGCAGCATTGACGGAAATCGAAAATGCTTATTTACTCACCACAGATGTCAATGCCATTTTATTTAAATATTGACACTCCAACGGCAACATTCCCAAATCACTGTGCTTGTTCACATATTTTCGCAGCTCGTTGACCATATCGGTGAAGATAGGTCGAGTTTCCTCGTAGTCCGAAATTTCCGTGTTCAACGATCCAGTGGCTGGAAACGTTTTTATCGTCTCTGCTATCATTGACACCCATAATTCTGAATCTAATGCAGCTACTTCGATAACTTCATCTAGCTCGGTTTTCCACTGAAATCATATAAATTGACATTTGAACCAAGATTAAAATATGGATTCATGGCATCGCAAATGAATTCGTTCATTTATCATGTCGATTTCTTGCGAAATTGATTTCTTGTAAATTTCTATTTTGTCCACAAATTTCCACATTAACAGTAGCTACATCACAATCGACCATTCGGTTTGGTCAAACCAATGAGATAACAAATAATTGCCCTCGAAACAAACATTACGGGCCACTTGAAGTAAAATTACAACAACAATAATAAACAAAAGAAGCGCCATAAAAGTGACAGCTACGACTCGAATGGTATGTGTACAATAGAAGTGCGACACCACACAGTGCTTGGGGAATATCGATGGTCGTCGTAATATTTATGCGACCAAAAACAATGCAATTAAAATGTGCTGCTATTGTTGTTGCTGTTATTGCTGTTGCTGTGCTGCTCGAAACGAAACGCATTATTTATGAGAATCGACAATGAAATTGAATTTCGAATATTCAGAAGAAGAAGAACCAACGAGGAAAAAAACTTTAATTCGTACATAATAACATTTTGCACACACATTCAATTGGAAATTCTATAGATTTTGTTTTTTTCTGTTTCATTCACTCGCGTTGCACACACGTCGCGCGCGTATATACACATATAGTAATCTTTTTCAATATGGACGATTTTTTTTACCTCTTCGACAAGACGACGCGGGATATGAAAAAAGCTAAGCAATAGTTTTAATTTCACTTGTGTTTGCAAATCCGCAAAGCAGTCTTTGATGTTCCTTAAAACCTCTTTGTTTAGCTGAGAACAAATCGAACCGCTAGTCCATTCGCTAGATGTACCGAGTTTATTATGTAGCCACAAAGATGTGTCGCTATCCCGATTCGCTGCCATTTTTCAACTAAAATTTCAATTTCAAGATTCAGTCAACTTTTCTTCAAAACAGACACACAATCGTCAAATATATATTTTACTCACTTACACACTGTCGTACACTACACATGTACACACGCACACACACGTATGCGCTCCAAAACAGATTAACGCATCATCGTTTGGCGTGTACCGGAGCCAACTTCACATCAATTGCATTTGTGAAGTGTTCGCCGTATAACCGACCAGCACATCAACCCAGAAGAAACAGCACAAATCGAACAACTTTTACGTGGTTCTTTATTACTTTGATCCACTTTTGTCAATTTAATTTCACACTTTTCGACAAACATGGGTGAAAATGAGAAAAATTCACTTTTCCAAATAAATTTTAGTCCATATCGAATCGAATGGATGTTTGTTCGATTTGACAATTAGATGGCGCTCCTATGAATTTCTTATCTATTCAATCAGAAGCTACATTAGCGAATAATAAATGAAACACACTGCAAAACAAAGAACCGTAATAATTTCATTAAATGGAAATGTAAGACAAAACTGCGAATCCACACGTATCGGGTTGTGAATCAGACTCGATGATTCAATTCATTGATTCATCTTTGAATCAATATTCATGTCATGCTTTTGTGCGTTTCGTTTCTCTTTTTTTTCGAATAATTTAATTGCGTCGATTGTGGCGAACGGAAAATTTTGCTGATTCTATTGACAAATTGATACTATCGAGTGTGGCGAGTGTGAGCGAGGCTAAGAATGAAAGAAACAAGCGTCTAAACATACGATTACGCGTATTTTGTTTTTGTATTCAAGCTTACTATTTGACAACAAAATCTCATCTCAAGCATGCACACACATACTCACACAGGCCATTACACACACTCATGTATCTCGCTCACTCTCCTCCATTGAAACGATATGCCATGTATTTGCTTCAATACAAGTTTTGTTATGGTACATTGTGGTAGTCGGCGCCGTATATATTGATACACATTGCTTTTCAACCGAACAAAAAAAAAACTAAAGCAGGCATCTCTCTCTCTCCGTCTCACGTCAAACTAATTTCAAATCTAAAATTCCATTTGCACCATAATTCATTCGGTGTTTTGGATTTTATTTTAATGAAAATTCGGACAGATATTCGGTTTGATCGAATTGGTCGATGAAACATTTCTCCATTGTCGAGTGATTGTGTGTGACATTTCGTTCATTGTCCGTAGCGCCGCAGTGAATTTTTGTGGAAATTTCTTGTGTGTTTTATTCAAGAGTGTGCGAATCGTTCAATCTGCATAGAGGAAATTATTTCTTTTGTGATACATTTAGCAAAGTACTACATTAAGCCAAACAGGAGTTTGTTTTGTTAGCTCTTGCTGCTAATCCAAATCGATATGACATCGGATGTTGCACAAGATTTCGATCAGGATAATTCGACAAAGCTAAAAAACGACTTTATTTGTGGTGTTATTGAGGGATTCTACGGTAGACCATGGACAACAGAACAACGCAAAGATTTGTTTCGGAAGTAAGTGGGTTTTTTTACTTGGACTCAAAAATTGTGTTTGTGCCCTGAAATGACTAGATCAACTAATGAACATATGACTCGAACAATGATTAAGGTTGAAACGATGGGGAATGGATTCATACGTTTATGCACCAAAAGATGACTACAAACATCGTGCGTATTGGAGAGAAATGTATACCGTTGAAGAAGCCGACCATTTGACGGGTAATTTGGTTTTTTTTTTTATTTCATTGCATACTAGCTGTTGAAAGTAATACCATCCATTCGTTGAAACAGGTTTGATAACCGCAGCTAAAGAGCATGGAATCGTTTTCTATTATGCACTTTCACCGGGATTAGACATGACATACAGTAATCCGAAAGAGGTATCCACGCTCAAACGAAAATTGGATCAAGTGTCACAGTTTGGTTGCGACGCATTCGCTTTGCTCTTCGACGATATCGAACCGGAAATGAGCAAAGCCGATAAAGAAGTATTTCAATCGTTTGGACAGGCTCAGGTGTCGGTCACAAATGAAGTGTACAATCATTTGAATTGCTCACGCTTTTTATTCTGTCCAACGCAATACTGTAGCACACGAGCACAGCCATCGGTAACCAATTCCGAATACTTGAACACAATCGGCAGCAAATTGGTGCAGGTAAATTTTATGATGACAATGACAATGACAAAGAAATTGGGCCAATTGAATTTAATGGGATTTTATGGGTCATTTACAGGAGATTGATATACTGTGGACGGGACCGAAGGTTATTTCAAAAGATTTAACCGTCGAATCGATTCAAGAAGTGACTGAAGTGATGCGTCGCCCACCAGTCATTTGGGATAATTTGCATGCCAACGATTACGATCAGAAACGTGTATTTCTCGGCCCATACGCTGGCCGATCACCCGAACTAATTCCAATGCTACGCGGCGTACTCACGAATCCAAACTGTGAATTTCATGCCAATCAAATCGCCATCCACACACTGGCACACTGGTCGAAATGTAGTTCGGACACCAGGGTCAATAGTAAGACAATCGATTGATTGATTCATATTGGAAAAACATTTTAATGTGAAACTTCTTTGCACAGACTCAATTTCGGCGGATATCAAACTGGAAACTGAAAATGAGGAAGGTATTTGCAGTGAAGATGCACCAACGTGTCTGTCAGATGATGTGTACCATCCGAGAGTTGCGCTGAAAAATGCAATAAACGAATGGCTTCCCGAATTCTATGTCATCAAGGATGCATTTGGACCAATAACAAAACCACATCCGATCCAAACAAGTGAGTTGAAAATGGTCGAAGATGTTTTGTAAAAATGGTCGAAGATGTTGAAATAAATTGGGATTTTCCTTTATAAATTAGTGGTGATACCTGTGATTCCGATTTTACCGTCAATTAATACATGCATGAGTTTAACGACAACAACAAACACCGTCTCCAATACAAGCGCCATTAAAGTGCCTGAGGTGAATACGACTCAATTGCAAGCGCTGGCCGAAGTCTGTAGCACGGTGACAGGTAATTTTCTCAGGAAACGAAACCATTTGATCGTAGTCATTGATTGTACTTGTCCTATATTTATAGGGGCTGAAACGTTGTCAGTGCCAAATGTAGTGATGAATTCATTGGTATCAGCCACAAAAGTGATAACCAACGATGTAATACCGAATCCAATTGTTGCAACGCTCAATCCAATTTCATTGCCGTCGATTCCATTGCCCGTCGGCAGCATCGGTGTTCCAATTATGAACTTGAAAAACGTAAACGAGAATAAATCCAATGTCAAACCGGACAATGATATCGAGGCCGAAGCATTCGAAACGGAGGATGAAAAATTTTCGGATACGAAAAAATCGGATGAATCGATGCCAGTTGAAGACGATACAATCATTGAAATGGCACATAAAATCGAAGAAAACATCAGTGAGACCGATGTTGAAGTGTCCGAAGTGCCCGAACCCATTGAAATTGCATCGGTGATTGTTAATTCGGATGTTTCATTTGAGCAACCGATTCTCGATAAAAGTGATGACCTCAACACAACCGGTGATCATTTAAACTCCACCGAACCAATGGAATGTGCTAGCGTCAATTCAATGGCATCGCCAAAACATACGATGGTGATCAATGATGTGATTATGGCAGAAAGCATTTCGGTTAGTTTCAGAAAAGAAATTTTATTTTTACAAACATTTCAACGGTTTTATTTGACTATTTCAGACCTCGTCCACGGGCAGCATGCAAGTCGAAAGCTCAGACACATCGCTCACTTCAAACACGGATATGCATGACATCGTGGACAAGTAAGATTGATTCAGAGTTGGCAAATTGGTTTGAATGCTTCTATAAACTTATTTGATTTTTTCTATTGAAGATCTTATGACAAAGACATAACTGTGGATGATTTGTTCTTGCTCTGTGACCTATTCTATTTGCCCTTCGAACACGGCTCACGCTCACTGCAAATCATTAACGAATTCTATTGGTTGAAAACAAATGCAAGCGTTCTCGTTAGCTCATACAAAAAAGGTCAAGATATTTCAAGTGCAAAACCCGAGGTAAATTCATATGAAACTCCAATTATCGAAGAAAAAAAAAACAATAATATGATTTTAACAATGAATTTGTCTGTATGATTTTGATGGAATAGGTCCAAGAGTGGTTTCAACGAGCCGATAAATTCTATAATTTGTGTCAATCGGTGATGGGATTGGCAAAGAAGATTGCATCATGCGCCAACAAAGAGCTATGCTATGATTTGTATTCTTATGTATGGGATATGGCTGGTGTAATCACGCTATTGTGTGCATTTATCAAATGGCTTGGTAAGTTTGATTTGTGGGAACAAAAGAAATAACGCACCAAAAATGAATTTTATTCATCAAGTGACGTAATCAAAATAAACTCAACTTTTTTCACATCAATTTTCATTTTTCAGCATTAGGATATTTCCCAGCCAATATTAATTCGTACACCCAGGGCAATTATACATGTAAGTGATTTTGATTTTTTTATAAACCTATTTTTTGTCCAATTTTGTGGATATTTATAATAAAAATAACCAATTTTCGCCTTCTTCTTTGTGTTAGGGTTCAGCAAGGGATGGCGAGAGACATTTTCTTCGGGAGATCAAGAGCCGTGGGTGTTTCGTGGTGGTTTAACGGCTGATTTACAAAGACTCATACCCATCGATTCGGGCAATGATTTATTCATTTACAAATTGCCCGATTCGCCCACCACAAATTTCTTCACCATTCGACCGTATTCGCACATGGATGAAGTTCAAATCTATGACATTTGTCATAAGACTTGCCGTGATGGATCAGATTGTACCGAGCTATTTTCTGAAAATCTTCAATCAATACCGGCTGATCGTCTGATCGGTCCATTTGTCACTATAAACCCGGAACTCTGTTTGGTTTTGCAAAATTCGGAGAATCATTTGGCTGGATATGCATGTGCCGCACTAAATGCAAAACAATTTTATCAAAACCAAGAAATGTGTTGGTTTCCCGAAATGCGACTCAAGTATCCATCAGCATTGTTAGATTTGCCGGATTTAACGCCAGCCGCCAAGGATTCAATCAATCATTTTCACAATTTCAAATATGATTATCCACAAGAAGTGCTCAATACACATCCATCCATAATGGTATGTTCGGTATTGAAAGAACAATGCAATGCTGACTCATCACTGCCAAAGCGATTGGTCACTGTTCTATTGGCTGCTCTACGCTCAAACGGATCGTTTGGTGTGCACGTTTGCATCAATACAACCGATCGTTTTATGCATCAATTCTATTCGAAGCTCGGATTTACCGAAATTTTCGAAGACTCGACCAACGGTCGCGTGTATTTGGGCCGAAATTTCTGAAACACAAATCATCATTCAAATTACACTTTTTTTCTTAGATTTAGCGAAACAATATTCATTTCTCCTTTGTTTCGTCTGAGTTCATAAAAAAGCGAATTAAAGTTGGATGGTTTTTTTTTAACTTACTTTGAATCCAAAAAAAAAAACAGAAATGATCAGATATAACGAGATGATATTATTATCTAAACTAATTCCGTTCGTAAAACAAAGCATAAAAAAGGTGCCCATGACTTGTAAGCAGTGTTTCAAATGACTCATGGCCAACTGAGATGTCAATCAATGTCAACACATATCTATTCAATATTTAAACATTTCTCTTCAATTTTTCTGTTTGGCTTGTTGTATTGGATCAAGATCGAGCGATCGATCAATTGAGACATGAAGATAAATGATGGAACATTTGCAGGTAAAAAATATAATAATTTGATGGCGGGAAAAATGCATGTTATTTTTTTGCGGATAGCATACACACATAAGAAAAAATATATCAATAAATTTATGTGAATTTAATGTATTCAAGCAATCCCAAATGAAAAAGAAACAAAGAAAAGCACACAGCACAGACTAATCCATTTAATATTATTTTTCTCCTCAATTTTTAATTTCAAACATTATTTATGTAAATTTCATCAACAAAACATGAAATTAATTTAAAAAAAAAAATGAACGACAGTAAAGGAGCTAACGTGATTGTGTTTTCTTAAACATTAGTTTCTAACATGCTAGAACTTTTTATCAACTGGATGCATATTTCGTGCATATTATTAGGATTATCGGCACAATTCGCAGAGTTCAAGTGGAATGGTGTCGGTTTGGTTGATTGGATTAATGCCAACAGGTGATGCCAAAAAGACGGTGTGAAATATATCTGCTTGAGTTGGATAGAACGTGTATTTCACGATACGAAGATGATCTGAATCAGTAGCGCGACTGTCTGTTGTCAATTTTATGCTGATGATATTGTCTTCACGGAATTGTCTAGAAGAAACGAAAAATTATTATTCGATCATGTTTAAAATTGCAACCATTTTGTGCATACTTTTCCGTGTCTTCTGCCAGTTTATTGACCAGAATTATGTCTGCTTCGGCTTGATCAGTGCAAAATTGGTCCAGACATTGTTGCCATTTGAATATTTCAGTCGAATATTCTGGGTCAAGGTATATTTTCACTTCATTTTTTACCAGCTCAAATATCAAGTCTTCATAACCAAAATTATCAATCAACATATGGAATTTTTTATGATCACTATCTGAACTAGAAGAAGAAAATCAATCATTTATTATGAAAACAATCATTATCTTTTGAATATTTGGCAACGCAACGTACAGTAATTCTTGAATTTCGCGGCAGGCTTTCCGTTTCAAATTGAACTCAGTAATGTTGTACGCCGTTATGTCAACGTATAACTCATCTATCCTATTCTCCCGCATTAGGCATGGTAGTAAATTGTGCTGCACAATATCACCAGAAGAAGTAAAACGGCCAGCGTATAATGTAAAATTCTTCTTATCTGTGTTGTGAAATAAGCAAAAATTCCAATTAAATGAATCCATAAAGCAATTGATTGAAAAACGATTGATTCATTACGTTCGAATAAAAATATAACGTTCAGTGTTTTGCTACCCCATTGAAAGGCTCTGACACAAACTGTTTCACCATTGGATAGTTCAATATTGTATGGTTCACCGTTGTCATTAATCACTTCGATGCTTTCGCGAATGTTCTCAGTGCAACGCATCGATGCTTTGAGCAAAGCCGTTGTGTAAATTCGACGTGTATCCCGTGGTTTTACCGATCGCAAATTAAATGGACGAGAGAAAACGTAGATAGACGGTTTCTGCAACAAATAAAATTGGATAAATGTCATTGAGTGGATTGAGTAAAATGTGAATAAGCGTGAGTCGCGCGAAAATTTATGTATAAGATGAACCCTTACTTTTAACAGATTTATTGGTCTTTCATCTACGAAAAAGTGTCCTCCGAACATGTTTACTCGACGAAAGTGCGCAACAAACTGTCAAGGGCGCATTCAAAACAATAACAATGGATGACACACCATAGTGGTCTCTGTCTTCTTCTTCTTCTTCTTCTTCTTTCTCAGCAATTGTCAATTTTCGTGAAGCGGTAAAGAACATTGGCAACTGAACCAAAGATAAAACTGGTTTGATTCTAATGAAATAAAACAGACGACAACGATTGAAAACAGTGTTTTTACATTTTATTTGAAACAATTTACGAAAATAACAATAGCTACGATGAGTTATGTCAAAAATTAACAGTTTTCTATTTCAACTAGAGCCGGTTTTGAAATCATACAACCAAACGGTATCGATTCCTTCACCAACAATTCGAGTCGGTTTGACATTTGGCAATGGGAATCGGCAGGCTATTACATGTGACTCTTTACTTGCTTCGCTAAGCAATTTTTTCTCCAACTCTGTCATCTGAAAAGAATGAATGTGTAACAAATTAACAACCAATTTCTATATTCATTACAAAAATGAAGCAAACAACTAAACACATCGAAATTAACTGAAAATTCAACATCGTTTCGATGCTAACCATTTGTTCAACGCCAAAAATGACGATATATCTGTAGGGTGAGACATCAAATTTCCATAGATCCTTCTGATAGAATGAGGTTTTCTTGAAAACACCATGGTAAAGTGCTGATAAACGTGAATATTGAACGAGCCAAGTGTTCAGCTCTACGCCATCTGCTTTCAGACCATTTTTGGCAGCCGCTAAAAATATATTGAAAATATTTCTCATCACTATTCCAAACGGTTTCTTTGAATGTATTCTTTGAAATAAATTGATTTACCAATGACAATGCGGCCATCTCCGGAGCCAATATCGAGCAGTCTTTCATTTGTGTTTGTTTTGAGAAGTTTGACAATGTTATTGATTTGATTATTTGTTGCTGGAACATAGGGCAGGCAATATTTTCGAAATGCTGGAGCTACAAACGGTGCACATATCAAACTCAGGCCAATCGCAGCACCTCCTGTTTATTAAAATAAAAACGAAAATAGACTGATGTAGTGAAATGACACATAATTTAAATAAGTTGCTCACTTACCCGACAAGCCAATCAGAATTTTTCCACCAGTGGATAGTGTCCGTTTTGGTTTGTTTACATCTTTCAATGCAAAACTTTTCTCCAATTCACTTTCTATTGATGACATTTTTGAGGTTAGATTCACACTGTTTTGAGCCGAACTGTCAAACATGAAGACTTCTTTTCAAATTCGAACAAAAAATAGCACATTCGAAATTTTGAATCGTAACGTTCGTTTTTATTTCGATAAATGTTTTTTTAAAAAATGTGTCATAAGTAAATTTAAAGATGTTTCTTTTAGGTCTATTGCAATGTTCTGACCATCATTAGACAAATAAAGACAATTTTTGTTCGGAATTTCAGAATTTCGGAAATAATGGTTTTGGAATGCAATCCTTTACCATGATTGAGTTTATTATTTAATGCTGCGTGTTTCCAGAATAATTATTATAACCGGTAAAGTTATTCTTTTCTATTATTCATAAACAAATAAAAAAAAAGTTATAATTTTTTCCACTGAACTATCGTTTTACTATCATCTGATGCATTACCAAATGGTTTTCTACCATCGATCATGAATTTATTGATTTGAATATCGGACATGGTTTCATAGCCGAAAACATCGCGAGCCAGTTGCTGTGTCAAGGCGTTTGTGTTGGTGGTCGAAATGCCACAACAAGCTTTTCTTCGGTCACACGAATCACCTCCGAATCCATGAAGGTCATTGCCGCCACATTGTCTTGTGCATTTAAACTTTCATGCGTTCCCATCAAAACTGACGTCATTATCGGCTTATCTCTCGGCAGACGATCTCTGAAAAAATGTATGCGTTGAATCCGATTAATACCGCGTTCAAGAGGAATATTTCTTCTATATCAAATGCTAACTTGACTGGCGTTTCGATCGTTTCCAAAAATTCCAATATGACACCATATGGACCATCGCGATTGCAGGGCGGTTTATTGGTGTTTTCGTTTTTGTCTAAGTTCAAGGAAACACCGACAACACGGTTGGATTTATCGGTGATCAAAAAACTGAATCCTGTTTGCACCTGCGTATCCCGTGCTTCATTTATCAGTGCCACATAGTGCTTTTCGGTAAGCTCTGGCTTGAAATGCTGTTCTAATTCACCTTTTTCCAAAAAGCCATTGGCGATTATGCTGAATGTTTAATAGAAAATGAAAAATATTCAACACAAAGGAAATTATAATTGTGGCCATGACACAATTCAAACTAATACCGAATAGTTTCTTTTCTGTGCTCCTCTGATAGTGGGTGGGCTGCAAAATCTGTTTCAATGGGTACTGGATTGTTACCACGAATTTTATTGATTTCGTTTGTGTGATCCAATGCTTCTCTCAGGTTCTTTGCTGATATGAAATTGGTGATTTCAATGGAATAGCCACGATCACGAAGCTTGGCGACGGTATAGATCGAATTCAACGAATTTCCACCCAGTTCATAAAAGTTACTCTGCAGCGAAATGATTGTACGAGCTGATCGGCCATGACTTAACCGATAGTTTGGAAAAAAAATTCTTGCCTTTTCCATCTCATTCGTTGCAACTCCAGTGTAATCATAGTATAACGAAAACCCAACTAAAAATCAAGAATTAGTGTTGACTGTATATAACAATATTTATTGCTATTTTCTTCTTATTCTGATACAAAAAATGAAGAGAAAAATCATCTAAAATCAAACAAATTTATTTTCATTGAAAATCTTCAAATCATTCACATTTCATCAAAAGTGGCTAAGCCTTACTGTAGTTGTTGGTGTTTTCGTAGTGTTTTAGTAATGTTTGACGATCAACTTTGCCATTGACCAACAACGGCATTTGATCAATGATAATGATCTGAGGCGTCATATATTCGGGGAGTTTGTTGCGAAGCGTTTTTTCGATATGCCATTCGTCCAAATGTGACGAGCGATCAACGGATGCAAAGGCCAAAATGGCTTGGTCCATTTGACCAGCATGATAGCATAGAACAATGCCTTTCTTTAAGCCATCAATTTCGTTGAGATTTTTTTCAATCTCGCTCAAGTCGACGCGGTGTCCTCTGATTTTAATCTGTGAATCAGTACGGCCCTCATAATGAATAACTCCACCCTTTTGTACCGATGCATAGTCTCCAGTTCGGTACAAGCGACTGTATTCTGTCGATTGAAAAACATATAAGTTTCATAGATCAATGAAATTTTGGTTCTCTTACGC